CAGCCAGGCCTGAGACGGAGGCGGCCAAGCCCAGGGTGGCCAGTCTAGGAACACCCAGACCTGGAGTGGCTGGGCCCGGAGAAGCCGGGCCCAGAGCAGCCAGGTTGGGAGCAGCCAGGCCCAGAACAGCAGTAGCCAAGCCCGAAGCATCCAGGCCGGGAACGGCCAGATTTGGAGCGGCCGGGCCCGGGGCAGCCGGGCCCAGAGCAGCCGGGTCGGGTGCGGCCAGGCCCGGAGCAGTGGCTGCCAGGCCGGGAGCGGCCAGGCCCGGAGCAGCCGGGTCTGGTGTGGCCAGGCCCGAAGCAGCGGCTGCCAGGCTGGGAGCGGCCAGGCCTGGAGCAGCGGCTGCCAGGCTGGGAGCGGCCAGGCCCGGAGCAGCTGGGTCTGGTGCGGCCAGGCCCGGAGCAGCGGCTGCCAGGCTGGGAGCAGCCAGGCCTGGAGCAGCTGCTGCTAGGCTGGGAGCGACCAGGCCTGGAGCAGCAGCTGCCAGGCTGGGAGCGGCCAGGCCCAGAGCAGCGGCTGCCAGGCTGGGAGCAGCCAGGCCCGGAGCAGTCAGGTCTGGTGTGGCCAGGCCCGGAGCAGCGGCTGCCAGGCTGGGAGCAGCCAGGCCCGAAGCAGCCGGGTCGGGTGCGGCCAGGCCCGGAGCAGCAGCTGCCAGGCTGGGAGCGGCCAGGCCCGGAGCAGCTGGGTCGGGTGCGGCCAGGCCCGGAACAGCAGCTGCCAAGTCCAGAGCAACTAGGTCGGGAGCGGCAGTGACCAAACCCGGAGCAGCTGGTTGTGGAACGAACCAGAGCAACAGAGGCCAGGCCCGGAGCAGCTCTCTCCTCGCCTGCCCCTGCCCCACGGCTGCCTCTCAGACATGGCTGGAAACTTTTGTGGGAACTTGAGGGTCTGCTGAATCAAGTGATGAAGGCTTAGATCTGGATGTGTTGAGTTAATATAGTGCTGGGGCGTTGATCTGTGAGTGCCTTGGGTGGGGCCTGGATGAGGCTGGTTGACCTATTTGGAAATGTCTTTTGTGTGAAGTGTATCATTGGGCATGTGGAGGTATTATTGATATGAGAAAATGCTAAGTAACTGATTTATTATCTGAAAAGGGATTTACTATTGGGGAAAGGGAGAGAGGAAGAGACTGAACATAAACTGTGCACCTATGAATGAGGACAAAGGGGGATGGGGAGGGGGCGAAGGGTGGGGTGGGAACCTGGTGGAGGGTGGAAGAAATGAGTAACCTTTGTAATAATATGAACAATAAAGATTTTTTTTAAAAATCTAGGGAATCAAGGGGGCCCGAGACATAGGGATGCTGTTCACCATCCGGGTACTGGTAGCCCGGCAGCCTTCAATGGGGGTACGGCCAAACCAAAAACTGGCCCCCTGGTCTGCCCCAACACAAGCATCCCCGCCCAGGGACACCATGCCCTTGGCTTCATAGCCCTCTGCATTCCCAGTCCCTATCAGGACATCACCTGCATCTTCTACCCCGACTCACGGCCTTCCACTTGATGCAGACCCCTTGTAAAGCACGGTTGTCAGGACATACCATATTCTAGATGCTTCAAAGCCTGACCTGACTAAGTCATGTTGGCTCTGTCTAGATATCCAGCCATCATACTATGAAGGCATTACTCTTAGCAGCAAGTATACCACAGCCATTAATTCCGGCTCCTGTAGATGGCAGCAATCTGTTGCAAAACTAACCCTCCAGGCAAGAACCGGGCAGGGCACTTGCATAGGCCACGTGCTCCCTGAACAGTTGCATCTCTGTAATGAGGCCCTTACTGTTCCCAATAGGACAGTCTATCTACTTCCCCCTGAGAATGCATGGTGGGCCTGTTCCAGTGGCCTTGCTGCCTGCATCCACTCAGGAATCCTCAACTCCCCGAAGGAAGGCTTTTACATAATCGTCCAATTGATCTCCAGGCTCCTATATCATACGTGGGACGAGATACTTAACAGATTTGGCTCTGCCAATCCCAGAAGCAAGAGAGAACCTATTACCACCCTGACTATGGCTATGCTCTTGTCCTCTCTCGTCATCCAGGACAAGAATAATGGAACACTAAAGCCAGCCATAGACTTAGATATAGAAAAAGTAAAAAAGTCAATCTCCCATCTATAGCAATTGCTCACTTCCTTATCACTCACTTCCTTATCGGAGGTAGTATTACAAAATAGAAGAGAATTAAACTTATTGTTCATACAGCAAGGGGGCCTTTGTACGGCCTTAGGAGAGGAATGTTACTTCTACCGTGTTTCCCCCAAAATAAAACATCCTCCGAAAATAAGACCTACTTACAGGTTTCCTTCTGAGTGAAATAGAAGGCATCCCCCTGAAAATAAGGCCCCCCTAGGCTCTGTCTCAGAATGAAAATTAATTTACTGTAAACTGGTCGCTAGGGTTGCCCCAACTGGTCTAGCAACCAGTGAAAAAGAAAAAGATACTACGTGGAGTACAAGAAAGAAATTGTGGAAGACCCTTGGGGCCAAAATCTTACTGCTTTCTGCAAAGAGAAGATGTTGAGTATCCAATTGGTCTGAAAATGGCGAGCAGAGTATGGTAACCTTATTGAACAAATGGACAAGGGAAATGCTAAAAAGCACAAGTGTGGATCAGGTCGGCAACCATTATTTTCCGAGCTGGAAGACCTGATCTGTGAATGGGTTGTTGACAGAACAGAGGCTTTGGTTGTGAATAGGGCTCAGATCCAAGAATTTGCCCTTGCAATGGCACCACAGTTTGACATAGCCCCTGAAGACTTCAAAGCATCACAACACTGGCTGGATAATTTCCTTCAGTGAAGTGAACTGTCTTTAAGAAGATCTACATTGTTTGGGTTGGAAGATACTCAAGCTATTAAGCGAGCACTTGCATTCAAGTCCTTTATTAATTATGCTGACTTCTCTAAATACAATCTTTCCAACATGATTGCTAAGGATGAAACTGCAGTGTTTATGGGCCAATCATCTCAAACAACAATTGGACAGCGGGGTGCCTCCATAGTGTACATTCCCTCCACTGCTTACCAAAGTGCACATGTTTCCTGTATTTTGGCAATTCATCTGGATGGCACTAAAATCCCACCTTTAATCATTTCTAAGGGCAAGAAGGAAAAGGTTGAATGTGTTTTGGGTGTTTTTATTCTTGAAACTGAAAAAGCCTGGGCCACACAAGCAGTTATAAGGAAGTGGGTCGATTTAATGCTGCTGCTTGTTATGCGAGGGAGCCAAAGAGGTCTGCTTGTCTGGGATGCAGCCAGCACTCACCGTGCTAAAAACATAAAGACATTTCTTCACGAAAGAAAAATAGATCAGATAATGATTCCTGCAGGAATGACGGCCTATCTCCAGACTCTTGATATTGCAATAAACAAGCCATTCAAAGACAATTTGTGCACAGAAATTAATGACTACATTGAAAATAGAATAGAGAGAAATCAGCGTGGAAACTTTGTGAAACCTAAACTGCAAGAAGTTGTGACTTGGGTGAAGAATTCCTGAGATAAAATCACTGACAGTTGCATTGCAAATGCACTGTGAGCAGGCTACCTTGACAAGAAGTACTCAATTAAAGAGAGTGCTATTGCTAAACATGAGAGATTTGGTCCACTGATTCTGAAAGAAATGGAGTCACAAGAAATTCACCAGGAAATTCAGGAATTGGATTGTTATGATGATGTTCCAGAAGATGATGACATGATTGTCATTGAATAAATGAGTAAATTCTTGATACTGTAGGATTCACAGTTTGTCTGGTTTGTGTTGACAACTACCATACTACTGTATGGTGTACAGGTAATAAAATTTCCTTTATTTTCATTTAACAATAAATGTGTACCATATTCTTCTTCATGGAAAAATAAGACATCCCCAGAAAATAAGACCTAGCACATCTTTGGGAGCAAAAATTAATATAAGACACTGTCTTATTTTTGGGGAAACAGGGTAAAATTGCTTAACAGGCAATGAACCTAAAGCAGTCATATTTTTGTGCAAAAAAATTAAAATTTAAAGTTATCAAGACTGCATTATAAAAATTTTCCAAAAGCATCCTAATAATTAAATCAAAAAAGGGGGGGATAGTTGAGTAATGTTATGTAAGAAAAAATTCCGGAAAGTCAATTACATTTAGAAATTTTTACTTTGAAAACTAATTTTCATTTGTAATGCTAATAGCAAGACACCCATGAAAAAACACATATGGTGTTAAAATAGATAAAGGAAAAATCATTTGGACAAGGACAGAAAGGATTCCAATTCAAATTTGCAGGAAAAAAAATCCTTTATTAACTTTTGGTGGAGAATAGATTTGTATGTTTTCAGAAAACAACTCCAAGACCATGCAGATTCCTGCAACAGAGAGGAATTGACAGGAATGCTCCAGCCATGAAGACAAGAGGAGAAACAGTCTAGAGATGGAAGATGCTGACGATGCCTTGCCATGCTAGAAGTCAGTAGCTGTGCGTCACTGCAGGTTGCCCAAGACCAAACCAGAGATAGTCAGACCTGCATTACCACCATTTGTCCACCATCCAGAACTAAAATATCATTGCTGATATATACACATAAGAAAATGTTTGGCATTGAAACTGGACTCAGAACTGTTGAACATTGAAATTGAGACTCAAACATTTTTTTGTTCTTTTTTTAAAATATATTTTATTGATATTGTACAGAGAGGGAGAGAGACACAGAGTTCGAAACATCAATGAGAGAGAGTCATCGATCAGCTGCCTCTTGCACACCCCCTACTGGGGATATGCCCGCAACCAAGGTACATGCCCTTGACCAGAATCGAACCCGGGATCCTTCAGTCCCCAAGCCGACGCTCTATCCATTGAGCCAAACAAGTTTCGGCCATTTTTTGTTCTTATATGTTTATTTCTGGTCTGCAGAGGCAAGATTTTTTTTAAAAGGAAGAACCGGGGGAGATGCCTGTAACCAATCATTGTCTCACTAATAGAAAAATATCAAAGGCTGGTCAACCTTGAAGCTCTGAAAGGGCAGAGCCAACCACTCCCTATCTAATTGAGTCAATGGTAACTGAGGCAACTTCCCCATCTTGTAATCATGTAAACCCTTACTGATATGATAATCCACTTATTACCTGCCTAAGGGTGATGGGTGTCTCCCAAACTTGCTTAAGGGTAATGGGTGTATCCCATAGCCTCAATAAAAGGGATAGCAAGGCCAGAGCTGGCTCCCATATCACCAAATAAAATTTCTTCTAGTCTCTCTTTATGTGGCCCCACTTAAGAACTGGGACCCTGAACCGGAAACCTGGACCATGCGGGACATGAAAGGGATTTCCATAGCCTAGGCCTAACCCTAACCCTAACTGTAACCATAAAACTAGCACTAACCCTAGCCCTAACCCTAACTCTAGGTTTATCCCTAGTTCAACCCTAACCATAACTCTAATCCTAACCCTAGCCCTAGCCCTAAACCTAAATATAACCCTAGCCCTAGCCCTAACCTTAATTCTAACCCTAACTCTAATCTTAACACTAACCATAACCCTCACCCTAACACTAACCTAACCCTAAACTGTCAAATTAGCTGTGTAAAAGTAATTAAGGTATCTGAGCCTTATGAAAATGAATTTTTAAATGTTTAAGCAACCTTTTTTCAAAAACACCAACTCATTTTGACTAAATTTTAAATATAACCAGTATCTAACTCATATCTCTGCTCTTTGAACTTGATATCCCAATTACTAAACAGCTTCCTACATATATTAAAGCTCTTTGAACATGTATTCCTAGTATGTAAAGCACTTTTTAAAATATTTTCCTGGTCTATTATTGTGAATTCTCATTGTTTAAATCAGTTTTATCCAGTGATTCAAGCTCATTCATTGTGAATTCAAAGGGTTTATAGAACTTTTTTCTATATAAACCAACTCTTTAAACCTAAATTATTACTACGTTGAACACTAGCCTAATGGTCATTTTGATTTCTAAGAGTTTTTAATACATTCATACTGTTATATCAGGTCTATGAAAATGAATTTTTAAGAGTTTAACCAACTTTCATTCAAAAACGCAAACACATTTAGATGAAATTATAAATTTAACCAATATCCAACTTAGCTCTCAGTGTTTCTATAAGGATTTCTCAGTGATTAAACAGTTTCCTTCAGATATTAAAGCTATTTAAACATATATTCCTAGTGTTTCAATCACATTCCTAAATATTTCCCTAGTCTATCATTGTGAATTCTCAGTGTTGTGTGCACTTTTGTTCAGTGATTCATGCTAATTCATTGTGAATTCCAGATGATTATACACCATAACCTTAACCTTAACCATAACCATAACCATAAGCCTAGCCCTAACTCTAACCCTACCCCTAACTCTAGCCCTAGACCTAGCCTGAGCAATAACCCTAACCCTAACCCTAATCCTAACCCTAGCCTTAACCCTACACCTAACCCTAACCCTAGCCTTAACCCTAACCCAGCCTTATCCCTAGCCCTAAAACTAATTCTAACCCTAACTCTACCTTTAATCCTAATCCTAACACTAGGCCTAACCATAAACCTAGCCTTAGTCCTAACCCTAGCTCTAGCCCTAACCATAGACCTAACCCTAGTATTAACCATAATCCTACCCCTAGCCCTAAACCAAATCCAATCCCTAACTCTAACCCTAGCCCTAAACCTAGTCTATCACTAACCCAAACCCTAACACTAACTCTACCCCTAACCACAACCCTAACAATAGAACTAACCTAGCCCCTAGCCCTAGCCCTAAATCTAACCTAACCTTAGCCCTAACCTTAACCCTAACCCTAGCCCTAACCCTAACATTAGACCTAACCCTAGCCTTAACCTTAGTCCAGCCCTATGTCTAGCCATAACCCCAACCATAACCCTAGCACTCACCCTAGAACTAGCCCTAGCCCTAGCTCTGGCCCTAAACTTAACATGAACCCTAGCCCAAACATAACCCTAACCATAGATATAACCATAACCATAAAATTAGACCTAACCCTAGCCTAAACCCTAACTTAGCCCTGGCCCTAAGCCTAACTCAAAGTCTAGCCCTAACTCTAGCCAAATATCTAATCCTAATCCTAACCCTAACCATAATCCTAGAACTAACCTTAATTCTAACCCTACCCCTAACCATAACCCTAACCCTAACACTAGCCCTAACCCTAACCCTAACCCTAACCCTAAACTGTCAAATTAGCTGTATAAAAATAACTTTTTAAGGTATCTGAGCTTTATGAAAATGAATGTTTAAATGTTTAACCAACCTTCTTTCAAAAATGCCAACTCATTTACACTAAATTTTAAATATAACCAGTATCCAATTCATTTATTTGCACTTTGAACCTGATATCCCAGTGACTAAATAGTTTCCTTCAGATATTAATGCTCTTTGAACATATGTATGAAGCATATTCCTAAATATTTACTTGTCTATCATTGTGAATTCTCAGTGTTTAATTTATTTTGTACAATGATTCAAGCTCATTCATTGTGAATTCCAAGGGTTTATCACTAACCCTAACCCTAACCCTAGACCTAACCCTAACACTAAACTTATCATAGTTCTAGCCCTAGACTGAGCCCTAATACTAGCTCTAACCATAAACCTAACCCTAACCTACAGCCCTAGTTCTATCCCTGGCAATAACCCTAACCCTAACACTAGTCCTAGCCCTAGCCCTAACCCTAGCCCTAGCCCTAACCCTAACCCTAATGCTTACACTAATTCTAACTATCCCCAGGCCTAACCCTAACCCTAGCACTAATAATAGCCCTAACCCTAAACTTAACCCTAACCCTTACAATTAACCCTAGCCCTAACCCTAACTCTAACCCTAACCCTATACCTAGTCCTAACTCTAATTCTTACCATAATCCTAAACCTACCCATAGACCTAATCCTAGCTCTAGCCCTAATTCTAGTCCTAGCTCTAGCACTAGGCCTAACACTAGTCCTAGATTTAACCCTAACCTTAACAATAAACAGTCATATAAGCAGTATGAAAATATTTTTTTCAAGGTATCTAAGCCTTATGAAAATGAATGATTAAATGTTTAATGGAACTTCTTTCAAAAATGCCAACTCATTAAGACTGAATTATATGTAACCAGTATCACACTCACTTCTCAGTTCTTTGCACAAGATTTCCCAGTGACTAAACTGTGTCCTTAAGATAGAAAGACTCTTTGATCATATATTCCTAGTGTATGAAGCACATTCATAAATATTTCCCTAGTCTATCATTGTGAATTCTCAATGTTTGATTTATGTTTGTCGTGTTTCAAACTCATTCATTGTGAATTCCAAGTGTTTTATACACCCTAACCATAACCATACCTCTGTAGGGGTGTCGAACTCAATCAGAGAAGGGGCCAAAATCTAAAATCCAGCCTAAATCGCGGGCTGAATGGTTTACTGAACAGTCATAAACTCTCATTGTGATGGAAACTCAGCGGAGTGCAGTGATGACAGCGCGGTGCGGGCCACATTGCAAGGCCTGGTGGGACGGATTTGGCCCGCGGGCCTTGTGTTTGACACATGTGCTCTAGAGCTAGCCCTAATTGTAACACTAACCCTAAACCCTAATCCTCACACTACTACTAGCCCTAGCCCTAACCTGATCCCTAAACCTATCCCTAATCCTAACCCTAAACCTAGGCCTAGCCATAAACATATGCCTAATGCTAATGCTAACCAAAACCCTACCCCCAACAGCAGCCTTAGTCCCAAACCATAGCTCTATCCCTAAACCTAACCCTAACACAACTCCTAGTCCTTTCTCTTACCCTCGTCCTAACCCTAACCTTATTCCTAACCCTAAACCTACTCCTGGCCCTAACTCTAGCACTAATCCAAGCCCTACCCCTAACCCAAGACCTAACCCTATCTTTTTTTTTTTTTTTTTTTTTTTTTTTTTTCCATTTTCCCACTAGATGTACATTTAGATTATTTCCATATTCTTTTTTTTTTAATTTAATTATTTATTTTTTTTTACATATTTTAATGATTTTTTTTTGCCCCCCTCCCTCCCTCCCCCATAGCCCCTCCCTCCCCATAGTTTTATGTCCATTGGTTGTACTTATATGCATGTATACAAGTCCTTCGGTTGATCTATTATCTCCCCCAGATCCTCCTCCCCTCCCCGCTGTAATTTGACAATCTGCTTGTTGCTTTACTGTCTCTATATCTATCTTTTGCTAACCCTATCTTGAGAGCTAACCCTACACCTAAACTTAGCCCTAGCCCTAGCCATAACCTTAGGCTTAATGCTAACCCTAATCCTAACCCTACCCACAAACCTGGCCTTAGTCCCAACTTTAGTCCTATCCATAACCCTAAGGCCACTCCTAGCCCTAGACCTAATCGTAACCCTAGCCATAATCCTAAACCTAACCTAGTGCTAAGGCTAGCCCTAGCCCAAAACCTAACCATAGCCCTAGCCCTAGCCCTAACCCTAAATTGTCATATAAGATGTATGAAAATAATTTTAAGGTATCTGATCCCTTTGAAAACGAATGTTTAAGTGTTTAATAAACCTTCTTTCAAAAGCGCCAACTCATTTAAACTGAATTATAAATGTAACCAGTATCCAACTCAGTTCTCTACACCTTGAACATGATTTCCCAGTGATTAAAGAGTGTCCATCAGATATTAGGACTCTATTAACAAATATACGTAGTGTTTTAAGTACATTCCTAAATATTTCCCTATTCTATCATTGTGAATTCTCAGTGTTTGATTCACTTTTGCGCAGTGATTCAAGCTCATTCATTGTGAACTCCAAGTGTTTATACAGCCTTTTCCCATATATACCGGCTCATTAAACATAAATGAGTACTTATTTGAACCCTAACCTAACTATCATTTTGTTTCCTAAGAGATTTGAACACTTTCATATTGTTATAACAGATCTATGAAAATGAGTTTTTAAGTGTTTCATCAACTTTCTTCCAAAAATGCCAACTCAATTGAACAGAATAATAAATGTAAACAGTATTGCACTCACTTCTCAGCTCTTTGAATAAGATTTCTCAGTGACTAAATTGTGTCCTTCAGATATTAAACCTCTTTAAACATGTATTCATAGTGTATGAAGCACATTCCCATATATTTCCCTGGTCTACATTGTGAATTCTCAGTGATTTATTTTACCGAGTGATTCAAGCTCATTCATTGTGAATTCCAAGTGTTTATACAGCGTTTTTTTTCCATATATACCTGCTCTTTATTTTTTTTTTAAATATTTTTTATTGATTTTTTACAGAGAGGAAGGGTATATTAGAAAGAGAGGCAGAAACATCGATGAGAGAGAAACATCAACCAGCTGCCTCCTGCACACCCCACATCGGGGATGTGCCTGCAACCAATTATACCCACTCTTTAAACATAAATTATTACTACTTTGAACACTAGCTTATCATTTTGATTTCTAAGAGTCTTGAATACTTTCATACTGTCATATCAGCTGTATGAAAATTACTTTTTAAGACATCTGAGGCCTACGAATATGAATTTTTAAATTTTTATCGAACCTTCTTTCAAAAACGCCAACTCATTCAGACTGAATTACAATTGTAACCAGTATCCAACTCAGTTCTCTACTAGCCCTAGCCCTAACCTGATGTTTCAAATACATTTTTTAAAAATAAATTTTTATTGTTCAGATTATTACAAATGTTCCTCTTCCCCCCTCAATTGCTCCCCTCCACCAGGTTCCCACCCCACCTTCTGTCCTTTCCCCACCTCCCACTGTTCTCATCCATAGGTGCACAGTTTTTATTCAGTCTCTTCCCACACCCCCACATCCCTTTTCCCTGAGAATCGTCAGTCCACTCCCCTTCCATACCTCTTATTCTATTATATTCACCAGTTAATATTGTTCATTAGATTTTTTTAATTCCTCTGGCTTTTATTTTCACTTGTTGATATTTATGTATTTGTTGTTCATAATTTTTATCTTTATCTTCTTCCTCTTCCTAAAGAACCCCCTTCAGCAATTCATATAATTCTGATTTGGTGGTGATGAACCCCTTTAGCTTTTTTTATTTGTGAAGCTCTTTATCTGGCCTTTTTTTCTGAGTGATAGCTTTGCTGGGTAGATTATTTTTGGCTGTAGGTTCTTGCTATTCATCACCTTGAATATTTCTTGCCATTCCCATCTGGCCTGCATGGTTTCTGTTGAGAAATCAGCTGACAATCGTATGGGTGCTCCTTTATAGGTCACTACCTGCTTTTCTCTTGCTGTTTTTAATATTCTCTCTTTGTGTTTTGCTCTTGGCATTTTATTTATTTATTTATTTTTAAAATATATTTCATTGATTTTTCACAGAGAGGAAGGGAAAGAGATAGATAGCTAAAAACATTGATGAGAGAGAATCATTGACCAGCTGCCTCCTGTACACCCCCCCTACTGGGGATATGCCCGCAACCAAGGTACATGCGTTTGACTGGAATCAAACCTGGGACCCTTCAGTCCACAGACCAACGTTCTATCCACTGAGCCAAACCAGTTCAGGCTGCTCTTGACATTTTAATTATGATGTGTCTTGGTGTGGTACTCTTTGGATTCCTTTTGTTTGGGGTTCTGTGCGCTTCCTGGACTTGTAAGTTTATTTCTTTCACCAGGTGGAGCAAGTTTTCTGTCACTATTTCTTCCAGTATTATTTTGGTATCTCTTCTTCTGGGACCTCCATAATTCTGATGTTGGCTTGCTTGAAATTGTCCCAGAGATTTCTTACACTATCCTCTACTTTCTGGATTCTCTTATCTTCTTGCTTCTGTGGAGGAGTGTCCTCTGGCTCTTTGTGTTCCAAATCTTTGTTTTGATTCTTGAGATCTTCCAGACTGTTTTTAGGACTCTGTGCAATATTTTTTATTTCATACAATGTTTTCTTTATTTTTAGTTGATCCCTTTTTATTTCTAGTTGATCCCTTTTCATATCCTCATAGGTCTCATTTATTTTATCAGCCTTTTTTAGGATATTCTTGAAAAACCTTATAACTGTAGTTTTGAACTTAATGCCCATTCTTTTTTTCTCCCCTCCATCTCCTTCCTTTGCATCCTGCCTCTCCTCTGCATTTTAGCTTCTTCCCTAATTTATTAGAATATTTTCGTGTGGTAGGTGTTCTGGTAGAGCCCAGTAGCATAGCTTTCCCAGTTACTTGAGGTGGACAGTGTTGGTGTAGCCCTTTGTGGGCTGTGTGCAGTCTTGTTGTTAAGCCTTGCTTGTTGTTGATATCACTGGGAAGGGTTGATCTCCAAGCCAATTGGCTGTGAGGATCAGCAGTGTCTCAGCTAGGAGTGCTTCTGTATTCCTCTTGGATGGGACGGAGTCTCAGGGTGGCACAGCAAGTGAGTCCCACAAGATTGGTTGCAGGCATGTGCACCTCTTTGGTATAGGTGCAGACAAGCTCTGGATTCGTCCTTCCTCAGGAGAGTCCTATTCATGGCGAAAGAAAAAGCCAGCCTCCGGGAGGGCTTCCATGCTCCACTCGGATGGGGCAGAGTCTCGAGATGGTGCCGACAAGCTTCAGTTTTTTGTCAGCCCCGCAGTAATGGCCACTTGCTTCACATGCCTCCGAGAGATCTCTGCCCACTGCATGGCAGTCTGGCCTCTCCCTGACTGGTGTCGTTTATCAGAGCTATAGGGTGGTTCTGTTTTCCTCCTGAACAAGAAAGCCAGCTGCATATTATCTGCCCCCCCTCTCTGCATGCCTGGAGTAAGCCAGTAGCAAACTCAGTCCGCCCTCTCTGCAAGCCA